AACTGGATCAATGCAGTCAAAAATGTAGCACGGTTACGGGATTGTGAATGTAATAGATTCGAATGATGGCGTGTCCTCGATATTAGTTCTCACCTGATCAGAAATGGGCATCTACATGTGAACGGTTATCGTCTACATTGAATTGCAAACAATAGGCGATAATAGACGATAAGTTGTTCCTCGGAGTGCGAGTACAGTCATAATTATCGCGCGTTTGAACAAATGTAGAGTAGATGCGGTTAGATCACAGATGAATGAAGGTGGAGGCATGTGAAATTGGACGCGTTCAGGGCACTTCAGCGCTGTAGCGCTTTATTTCAATCTCAATTCCATGTCAAATCTGAGTCATTCCTCCTTCAAGACGCTTTAGGAACGGCCAATTTTCGTTATGGATGCGAAGCCGACCGCAGAATTTTGATTACATGATTGCGCCTGATCCCATACGACAAAAACCGACAAGTTTGTAATTTAGCATCAAGACTTGTTTAGTTTTCAACATATCATACAACAAATCTATGGATCGCACATAGATGCCTTCACATCGGATCCGCGCATTTCGCTATGGATTTACCAGTTCGGTGTTGCCAAACTGACATACAATGTTTAGAAAATGCTACATTTATACTGAAGTTCAGTTTTTTGCGGTTTTTGGTGATTACGTCATAAATCCATTAGAAATAAGCAAACGTATAGTCTCAAGACCTAGTCTAGATAGGTGTCAACTAAATCAAATACACCGACGACTGGTCAAATCGGCAATTTGAGGTTAGAAAAAATTTGAGTTTTAACCTGTTATTCCTCTTTTCTCCTCTAAACTATGTAATATTCCGATTAGGGCGCTCCAAATTAAATGTCCGTGGTAACTTATAGGTTTTGAGAATAACATTTGTTTACATGATTCGGAGAACACTCGCGAAGAGTGTGATTTATAACTTGATTTAATGAAAAACTGAACATATTTAGTAAGCTGCGCACGCATGATAAATATCCGCGTCATGAATACCTGCCTAAACTAAAGCGAATTTGATAAGATAAATTAGATGGAGGGTATGCATCCAATTCAACCAAAAATAATTATCCATCTGGCAGCACCGCATTTATCTCTGCCCAACTAAGTAAAACACATGTTTAGATGCCATCAGCTGTCTTGTAGACGCAATGTTTTTGACAATATCTCTTACCTCTATCTAATTTATTCTCGCCTTAGCTTACTGCCTACTCTCGTGTTATACGCTCTCTGTGATATATTTAAATACAAATTAAAAAAGTGGCACGTGTGTGTGGTGCCAATCACTGTCTCCGCGCAAAACACGGCTTAAGATAGGGATTTCTAGATTTTTTACTACGGATCTGAAATGAAAAGAGTATAATTTCAAACGGCAGATCCAATAGGACGACCAAAGTCCAAATGTATTCCATTTGCAAAAAAATGTTTGTCCTGAAAGTCGGACGCGTCATAATTGTGCTTCCCATGCTATGTTGAATTCTGTGGATCAAGAACTGATCAGTACAAACACTCGCGTATGAAAAACATTTCTGAAATGCTTTTATCTTTAAGCCTCGGGACCAATAAACATTAAAACACTTTTGGAATACATTTAAAATACTATATAACGAAGTCTATAGATATAATGTATGTAATTTTCAATGTATCTATTTTTCAATTTCTCTTTAAGTATACGCTTACTGACGGTTGCAATACACCATTACGCTAAAAGTACATGTAGACATATTTTTTAAGTCTTCTTTACTGAGATACATGATGATCCATTTCAGATTAATTTCTTTTGGCATTGATATTTTTATTAGTGATTTAGATGACAATGTGTGCGTCGATGATAAGTGTCCAGAAACATGACCTATATTGGCTATATCCAACGAATACGAGAAGGAACCAAGGCAATATGTTTACTTTGCATTGTTTGTCGCCAAAATTGTATGGCTTTAGTGCATACCTTTGACTCATTTATTCCTACCAAAGTGACAGTAGCAACATAAAGTAATATTTACCGGTGGAAACATCTACCTTTATCAAGCTTGTACTGCTATACTAAGTGACATATAAATCCGAACACCCAGTTTAAATGGTTTTATTTTAATAAAATTTTGTATAAGTACTTAATGAAGCATAATAAGTAAATGATAAAAATTTCTAAATGATTGCACTGCTTTAAAGCCCTTTGACCTTTAATAATGTGTGGATGCACCCTGATGTGCTACGCATTCTCCAACGCGCCTAGGCATGCTTCTGATCAGGTGGTCAATGTCCTCCTGTGGTATCTCATTCCAGGCAACCACCAACTCCTCTCGAAGTGCTTCTAGAGTCTGAGGAGGACGTTGCAAATTGAGCAATCTCCTACCCATCATATCCCACACGTGCTCAATTGGGGATAAGTCGAGAGATCTTGGTGGCCATGGTAACAATGTGACATCATTATGTTGAAAGCAGTCTATTGTGACTCTTGCAACATGTGGTCGGGCAGTATCTTGTTGGAAAGTTGGATGTACCAGGGTGTCAAAATAGGATAAAAGATGGGGTTCTAGAACTTCGTGGATATAACGCTGCGCGTTCATGTTACCTCTGATGAAGATTGAAGGTGACCTGGAACCACAAGCTATAGCACCCCAAACAATAACTCCAACAGTGTGATGAACATGTCTTTCAACAAAAAACTGTGGATTCCTCCTTTCACCACGTCGCCTTCTAACCCTGGCACGACCATCGTGCATGCCTAAACAAAATCGAGACTCGTCACTAAAGACAATACTGTTCCATTCCTGATCCCAGAGTGACCGTTGTCTGCACCACTCAAGGCGATTACGTCGGTGTTCTCGAGTTAAAGGGAAGACCCAGTGTGGCCGGTATGAAAACAAGCCAAAACTTCTCATTCGTCGGTAAACACTTCGCATGCCAATAGGTCTTCCGTGTTCTGCAAACCATTCATTTGCAATGGACCTGGTAGTGGAGAAACGGTCCCTTTAGGCCAATAATCTTAGGCGGCGATCTTCTCGGTCTGTTGTTCTACGGCGGCGTCCAGTGCCCCTTGCTCTTTGCGTCTTCACTTCTTTGCACTCTAACTGCAATTGCCCGAAAAGAAAGTCCAGTTTCCCACTATACGGCCCCTATCAAACTCACTAAGTTGACGAAATCGTACAGGTCTCCGTACTCTAGGCATCGTAACCGATCGTAAAGGATGTCAAGAACCAAAATCCGCCAACGTTGATTCTTTACTGCGACTGAAATATTCATTTTTAGAGCGTTAGTGAATTAAAATAAAGCAGTATAAAAACCGGAATGTCCAACTGATAAGACTGAAAATGTTTCCACTTGTTATTTACAGTAAGATAAATACATTCACCAACTTTTATTAAAATAAAACCATATAAACTGGGTGTTCGGATTTATATGTCACTTAGTATATGTTACGATCCAGAAATAATGACATAATGACAAAATAGTTCAAACTAATTACATTGCTGAAACAAATTTTGAAATGTTACAAGCCCAAGAAAGCTGCGATTTTGAGTACACAAATTAGTGATTTTTTTAAATAATGCTCCCGATGAAGTTTATTTAACGGCCAAGGTTGTTATTGTATTTAGGATTGCAGGAGCTTGTCGAGTTTGTGAAATCAATCAGGTAACATGAGATGATATTGAAGATTCGGGAACGTTATTAATTGTAGTTACTGCAAAATATATTAAATATAACCGAATGTACATAGCCCTTCGTTTAGCAGCAGCCTGTTTTATGCATATCACAAAGGAAAATGTATCAATCAGGTTGTGGGTAAAAACCAGTTTTATAAGGTTCCCGAAATAGTGGCTAATTTTTTTCAACTTGAAAATGCTAACTCAGACACACGCCATTCATTTCGAAGATCGTCTGCTGCACTTTTAGCTGAATCTGGGGGGAGACTTGATGACACTGAAAAAACATGGCGGTTGAAAGTCATTAACGGTCGCTGAAGGGTATGTTGATTAATCGGTAGCACACAGGACAGAAATAGCTAATAATGTGTTTAGACCGTGTGGAAGTGCTGAAATAACACCGAATTTGCGACCAAGTACATCAACGAGAGTTGTGATGGCAGAAAAACATAATTTTAACACAAGAAAATTAGACTGTCGTACCGAGTAGTTTAAGGAACGTGTCATTCATGCAATGCACATTTAATAATTGTACTTTTGGTATAAAGGAAATGTAACTTTATTGTATAATAAAATATTTTAAAATTAAATATCTACCTTTTATAGAATATCCGGGGAAAAAAGTAATTTCATAAAAAGTGACATTCTGTTACGCGTCAACAGGGATAAAATGTGAAACTTTTTTCTGTCACAGAAAAAATAAATAAAAAAGTTGTGTATATTTAATCAAAAATTCCAACCTTTAAATTCGCATTCTTCGTGCTAGAAAAGCCTGATGAATTTTGACATATGACGTGTCTCTAGATTTGTCTTTGGCAGTGCGAGTAATAGTGGTATACTAAAATATTATAAGACTAAAGTGAGGGATTTTAAACGCAAACTTGGTTTTTGACATCTAAGACTCGTCCTGATAGCACAACCAATTCTTCATTCTTTTCAGTAACTGCAATTGAACTGTTTGTAATTTTTTTAAGTAAACACACCTCTACAATTCAGATCTACCAAAGTCGATATTTTCAAAATCATAAAAACGCATGCCACTCGTTGTTTAAAAAACAGGTACCCTGTTAGGTATATTTTGCTTCTCAAGCAGACGCCAGGGGGGAAATATGCCCCCCTAGTCCATCCCCTTGGATACGAGGGTACTTGTCGAAAACGTTAATATTATTAATGATAACTATACTCATAACAAAACTGACTTTTCAAACAATCTTAATCAGGTTAACGCATTGTAATGAGGAAACTAATGGCCAATTCGAATCACGGTCCGAATGAGTGTCGGTGCATCAAAATCGTTTCGAGCTGCAGACGAATTAAAATAATTAAATTCATGAAACCTACTAACTCACACAGCATTCATAGACAATGACAACGAGGTAATCAGTATTGGCTTGTTCATGCTCTACAAACTGAAATTAAGAGAAAACAAAGGAATTATTACAAGATGTAACGATCTGGAGGTAAATTTGACTTACCCGACCAAACATTGTAAGCTAAGAGGTACTCTACAGCAGTGGCGTACATTTTGCTTCTATTGACAGTATCACGTGCAACGGAATATTCTTAGCGAATCAGTTAGGATAAATTCTATGACGTTACCACCGGAACGTATTGAACAATTTTGCACTTGATTCTTGCAGTTATCGATGTAGGGCAATACCAAGAAAACTTCAATCATGTAGAAATAAATCCCATGCAGGATGTTTACTTGTCATTTTTTTGACAAATTATTTGACTGATATACCTGAACTTCCCATTCCAGCCCTCTGTGTGAAAGATGTGAAAGAAGGATGGAGGAGTTGGAGAAATAATCAAAACTTTTTTTTATATATATCGAAGCAGCCGCGCAGACAGAAGCCTAAATGCCGGAACAACGCGGTTGCTCTGATGACCCCAAAAGAAATTTTGTTAATACGATTTTTGAACTGCCTAAGGTTAGTAGAACTGGGAAAAGTCTCCTCTTGTAGATTGTTCCACAATCTTGACAACCGGAACAAAGGAGCGGTTGTATCGGCCAGTTCTGGATGTACGAAGTTCGACACGATTAGGATGGGACGCCAAAGTCAGGCGGGTCTGTCTGGCAGGCATATCGCGCGGTGGCATCATGGAAGAGAGCTCTGAGGAGCAAAGCCCGTTGGTGTTGCGGCAGAAAAGAGCTAGATCGCCGACGGACCACCGGTGCGAAAGAGCCCCGAGACTGTCTGTTAGAGAAGAGTCATCAATCAGTCGGACCGCCCTCCTCTGGACAGCATCGAGTATGGATAATGTAGTCGGGGCGGCAGCACCCCAAAAGTGTGAACAATACTCGAGGCTAGGCCTTATATGGGCCTTGTATAGAGTGAGAAGGTCATGCGGAGAAAAGTATGTACTACTTAGCCCTAAACAAGTAGCCTAGATTTTTCCCAGCAGCTGCAGCTATTGACGAGATGTGTTCGTGCCAGATCAGGTCCTCGGTGATCTGGACTCCGACCAGCCGAAATAAATGGCTCTTTGGCAGAACTCGGCCATCCATCGAAACCGCATGAGCGCTAGGATGCTTTTTGTTTGTCAAAGTACAGTACTGTGTTTTGGAAGCATTGAACTGTACAAGATTGTTGTGTCCCCAAGCAGTGATAGCCTCCATGTCTCTTGTCAGAGAGTAAGTCGTCTCTAGTCTTCTTTTTTCCAGCTCAGCGGCAGAAATCGGCTTGTCACTCTGAATTCCTGCATGTAGACTGCTGTCATCAGCGAAGCTGTGTCTTGGGTTGCTCGTGCAGGAAAGGGTCTATATGTAAGAGAAATGGTGTCGGAGCGAAGACCGATCCCTGGGGAACACCCGCGTTGAAGAGGAGAACCCGTCAATTACGACGGATATCTTGCGGCCAGAGATAAAGTCAGCCACCCATCTGCAAAGCTTTTCTGGGAGGCCATAGGATGGAAGTTTGCTTGAGATGGCAGCGTGCCACAGCTGATCGAGCGCTTTCGTGATGTCAAGAGCAACGACATGAGCCTCACCATAAGACTGGATGAGTTTACTTCACAATTTCGTGAGGTAGGCTAGGAGGTCCCCTGTGGATCGTTGGTGCCGGAAACGATACTGCCTGTCGCTAATCAAGCTGTGACGTTCGAGGTAGTCCAGAAGTTCGCGATTTATGCACCTCTCCATCACCTTACTTATCAGAGCTATAGGCCTGTAGTTGTAAGGGTCGGTCTTAGACCCTCTATTTGGGATGGGTTGGACATGAGCAAATGTCCAGTTTTCTGGAAAGGTGCCGGATTCATAAGATATCCGATAGAGACGCGAAAGAACTGGAGCAAGCTCCGGTGTACACCTCTTCAGTACAATGGCAGGAATCAAGTCCGGACCAGAAGATTTGTTGATGTTGAGCGACAACAGCACTGGTTTTACGGTATTATGCCTGAATGTTACCTTCCGCATAGTGTAGGGAACCCTTTGAATTGACGGCACCTGGGCGTTGGGGGGGACGTCCACAGTGTAGTTGGTAGCAAAGATCTTGGCTAGCACTTCTGCCTTGGCCTTTGAGTCGAATACAATAGTTCTATCCTGACACGTAAGTGGTGGAAGGCTACTGTGTGAGAAGTTATTTTCAATTAGCTTGGCCAGCGTCCAGAAAGACCGACTGCCATTGCGCTGCGACATTACCCTGAGCCTAACTTTTATATCGCGCTGTTTTTTGGCATTGCGAACCGCTTCGTTATATTTGCTTCTGGACTCGACGTCGGCTTGTCTGTTCTCTACAGCGAGGTTTTGTAACAAGGTTCGATATGCCATGATCTTCTGCTGGCGAGCAGTGTCACACGATTTGTTAAACCAGCCGTTTGACCCTGGTTTAGGAACTTTCACTGTGTGAGGGATGTATTCCTTCATTCCGACCTGGATAATTTCGGTTATCGAAGAACAGACAGCCGTCGCATCTGCGTCAGTGAAACAGACATCTCTCCAAGGAAAGCTAGAGAAGAAATCTCTGAGCCCCTCCCAGTCGGCATGTCCGTAATGCCAAGTTTTGCGGCCTTTACAAGTTTCTGCTGCCACAGCGGGTTCTGACCGACACCTAACCTCCACAACACCGTGGTCTGAGTTACCCATGGGGGGACAGGGCAGCAGTGCTGTAAGGGACAGGATGCGTGGTCAGAAAGGGATCCAGCAAGCTACAGGCGTGTGACGAGACACCAAGGGAAAAAGTAGGGCTCGTCACCAGGTGGGTCAGCCCTTGAGTTAGAGCGATCGCTTCGACTGCACGACCTGCTGCATCGGTCGTGTTTGAGCCCAACCAAAGCTCATTATGGCCATTGAAATCACCGAGAAGAACTACCTCTGAAGCGGGGTGATTGATGTTCAGGAACTCGATCTGGATGGCGAGGTATTCGAGTAGGTCATCCCAGTTCTAGTGCGAGGGAGAGCGATAAAGGCAGCAAATAAATTTGGCTGATGTTTTGGTGTTGAAGCGATGCCACAGAATGTCCTTCCGGTCTGATTCCAAAGAAACATCTCTGGAGCAGGAAAGAGTGCTGTAGACAAAAGCCACAACTCCCGCGTTCTTTCTCAGATTGGAGTGCACCTCGTAGCTTGGGAAGTTAAGATGGACTCTGAGATTTTTGTCTCCGCCAAGAAAAGCACGACTGGACGATTGGATTGCAGGTAGTGACAAACAGCATCAATGTTGCTGTTAATCCCGCAGATGTTCGAAAACAAATTTTATCTTCTATGTTGTTCCCTCGAGCCCACCCTCCACCCGGACATTCCACTGCCCTATTTTGACATTAGAGCCAACATTTCTCGATGCACAAGTAATGCACCCGGTTCAAAACAAAACTTCGGTAGAAAAGAAATCGCATTACTGTTCATGGATGTGAGATAGGCATCAGATTGTCTTTGAAGGAAGTTTTACCGATCAATTATGGACAGAGTAGCTGGAGAAGTACTGGGTGTTCATTTGAAAACTTCCCACCACGGATTTCTCGAAAACCACTTAAAAGGAAAAACGCCAGAACAGGTCAAAGGATTTATCAACTTTATAACCAAAAACTACTTCGCCCTCTGCCTCCAGGGTTATCCCCTTAAAGATTTTAAATGACAAGGAGTATCAAATAAAAGCTTGTTTGGAATGCCTTTCAAAGTCCGTTATTTTGACGTTTGATTTTTTTAAATCGGTCGATTCGTTTTCAAGAAAGTTGGTAGTATCTTTATTCATCACAATTTGTTTAGATAGAAAACAAAAACACACGAAAATATCACCCTTTATTTCAATAAGTGCTCAACATGTTGCCCGTTATTGGTCAAACGATGATACAGGCGATGTTCACATTTCTGGCGGACATTTTTAAAAACATGTTGTGGGTTATCGTGGCAGCTTTCAATGATACGTTGACGAAGTTCATCCAAACTTTCAGGTTGGGGAGTAAACACACTAGATTTCAAATGGCCCCATAGAAAAAAGTCCAATGGCGTCAGATCAGGAGATCTAGCAGGCCATAGGTCCTCTTTGCCCTATCCACTTCTCTCGAAATTCGTCGTCTAGCCATTGCAGAACCGGAAGAACATATTGACGAGGAGCGCCGTCTTGCTGGAAATACTATATGATTGATGTCAATTGCTGAGCTGTTTACGTCAATATACACCAAAATAAAATTGGCTATTTAAGCCTGAGTAAATAACTTACTAGGAGAGCTAGGTCGTATATGAATACCGTTTCGAATAACCTGAGCACAATGCTTCGTCTTAGTAGCATCAAGCTGCGCCAATATGACCTCCAGGCCTTTCGTCAGAGCCATTCTTATCGAGGCTCAGCAACCAAATTAAATTTCAACATCTTTGAAATACCACATCTGGGTTTTGAAGCTGTCATGGAAACTGTGAGAAGGCCTATGGCTGACAATAAAGCATCTTCACAACGTCAATTGATAATTTTGATCCAGTTTTCATTCTTGAGAATACTGAAGTTTCGTATATCTATTTGACAAACAGAATTTCAACGAAAAATGAAGGTTTTCAGTACGTACGTCATTCTAAAGCAATGCAGAATGATTCTACTTGCTTGGCCAATACGAGCCCCAACCTGGAATCGTTATCTAATATTGAATACTTTTCATTATCTGACAAACTCTATGCATATGAAAAAATTACCAGATAAAGCAGCTGCAATGCGAATCTCGATAAAAGACGATATAACGAGCCCGAGAGAAAACGACGTGAAACCAAATTTGGTAACGCATCGTTGATGCAGCTAAATTCTCTTTCCTATCGTTTTCGGTCGTGAGGTTCCATGGCCTACTACGTGACTGTATCTACCGGAGAAATTGGCGGGAAAGTGCGCGATCCGCGGGCCGCGATTGTTTTCACAGGTTATATCCCGTGAATTGTTGCAATCTGGCGCTTACTAATTGACTCTTAAACTCCTTCGCTTCCCACAGTAATTTTACTTTCATCGTGATATGTGTCGGTAAACAGTTATTTCAACCTTCAGTGGGGATAACTGTCGTAAATATCAGATGCGCTGCAGATCAGTAATTTAATTTTCCACTCCATTGTCCGTTCTTTAAGCTTACTTCCATAGTCCATCCTGAGACGAGATAAATTAGAGCAAGACATCAAGCTTGAGGAAGTATCTAAAAAATGCGGACTAACAAAAACAATACGTTGATACCTATTGACCTGATCTGATTCTCCTTTCAATGCAAATCTTCAGCACAGACAACATAAAAATATATGCTCTTTGCATGCAAATGAGAGCATTTGCATCTAGTCTTCTTCTTCTTATCATTTTCTGGATAGTCCCTGGTGGATTCAGTACCATTGAAGCCTCCAACTTTCATACAAAAATATTTGGTATTCTCACCGCGTCTGTATCTGGCAGTCACATCAATAATTGACATTGTAACGCAAATATGAAACAAGTGAAATACGATGCCACTGCATCTTGTATACTCAAAAACACGTGGCCATAGAGCAAACGCAAACGGCTGTCATTTAGCATACGGTCCGCTGGAAGGCAGTCTCATCAATGTGCACTGTATCTGAAGGTAGGCATCCACAGGTGCGATTCGCCTACATCAAACAACTAGCCCTAAACAATTTTCAATACTTTCTGCATGTTCTTAATTACAAATGCGTCCATTGATCCGCACGCCTATTAAGGATCCCCCACACCGACGCGGTAAGGCGATAGCGATAATCGCACCGGTGTCTATGCGGTGCTGTTTTCAGAGCGGTGAATAATACCGATTACACCAACGCGCTGGGGTGGCCCGCGGTCTGTCATTTTAGAAATGCTGCTGACGCGGTTCGTATCGCATATCGCGACTTTTTTCACGATGTCTTAATTGAACAAGTTAAAAAGTACCCAATATTGTACGATTTAAGTTACGATGTCTATAACATTTCCAGGAAAAAGTGTGGTATCAACACTAGTTGAATTCAAGATTTCATCAAAACAATCGGGAGTCATTCGAAAGTATGCGTAAAATCGTTGTGGATATCTACGTAATTCGGGCATTAAGGTATGATAGTCTCCATGTATCCTCCTTTGTTTATTGACATCATGTATCCATTTCTTCTTTTTCCTGAAACAATTATTAACTATTATTAACTAATAATTATCTACAAAATACTTACCTTTTTATTGTTTTAACTTAAGGTCAATAATAGTATTAGTTCTTCTTCATCAGAAGGCATATTGTATAAGAAATAAAAAAATGTTTGAGACGCGTCAATGCGGAGGAACCTTAAAGGTTCACACCACCGCGGTACGGCAGCTTTCTTATCTACGCGATATTCTCAAACGTTTTTTGATTCCTTAGTCAATATGTATTTTGATAAAGAAGAACTATTATTATTATTGGCCTTAGCAGAAGATAAAAGGCGAAAAAGAAGTATTTTGATGATAATCATTAGTTAATAATAATTAATAATTGTGTTTAAGGAAAAAAAAGGAATGGATACATGGTATCAATAAACTAAGAAAGCAATATGGAGAATATAATACTTTAAAGATCGAATTACCAAGATATCCACAACGTTTTTACGTATCTTTTCGAATGACTTCCGATTGTTTTGATGAAATCTTAAGTTTAATGAGACACACTCCATCCTTTTTCCTGCAAATTTTATAGACTTCGAGACTTAAATCATACAGTATTGGGTACTTCTCAACTTGTTCAATTAATTTCTTCGTTGTGGGCATCGTGAAAAACTTTACGGTATGCGATACGAATCGCGTCAGCAGCCTTTCTGAAGTGGAACGTTGTCAAGGCGATAAACCGCGTGTCACCCCACCCCGCTGGTGTGATCGGTATTATTTATCGCTCTGAAAACTGACAGCGTTGCGATTATCGCTATCGCCTTACCGCGTCTGTGTGGGAGATCCTTTATGTAAAATAATCGATATGATCGCGATCTGGCTGCCCCAATTCGCACTATACACGGGAACCGAAAAAGACGAGAGCAGAGAAACACATAGCAGGCTTATGACCGGCATCTTTTCGAGTTGACGTAGAGGTCACGCGGTTATCACGCCATATCCAAAAAGATGCCGCGTTAGCATGGGCGTGCAGGGTGCTTTGCTGTTCTCTTCCTTTTCGGTTCCCGAGTAAAGGTGCGAGCTAGTCTAATAGCCCACTTCACGCCTACTTGCGGTGAACGCCACCTATGGAGCAATAGCCCAACGATCGTCATTTGCATCAACTGCAGCTTAGGCCACACTAAGGCCACAGATTATATAAGTTATGATAAAATTCAAATCATTATATCCTGTTATGTAACGATTTTGTTGACGTTCCAACGAAGTAAAAAATGTTTATTCATTTTTCGAAGGTTGGAAATGAAAGTAAGGAACAAGCTTAGAAAGTTAAAATTGGGTAATCCAGGTCTAGTTTTTCACTTGTACGTCATTTCATTCTTCTGTATGTCAACTGCACTCAAATAGCTTGTTCCACATCCATTATCGTTGACTGGACATGATAAAATGACAGATTAGCTAGCCCTACTCTACATAAAATTAGTACGTAATACGTCTTTTTGGATGTTGTATGGTATGCACATTACAAAAAAGCTGTCTATCTGCAGATCCTTGGGCCGCCTATACCTTGGGATGTACCTCTCGGGTTTGGATGAAATTTTCACACAAGGCCACTACTGCGCCTAGGATGAAAAAGATTTATAGTTCTCAAAAATCGATCTAGTGGCGGCGGAGCTAGAGGCAGAAACATGGAAAAACAAAAAATCGTCCAAACTTCGTTTTTCGGAGTTTCAGAGGTCCCTGACCATTTTGTAGGGGTTAAAACTCAGGGGTTGGGGGTTGTAGGAAGTGAAGTAGGGTATATGATATTGATGTAAGTGTATTTATACGCTCCGAAACCCGGTAATTCTTTGCGCCTCAATAGTCAAATTTCACACATTATGGATCTCTCGGTATATATGCCTTTAAAAATTGAAATGTTTTAGAAATGTTTTTTATCCGTACTCTCCTTAGATGTGAGTTGACTGCTTGGCGTACCGGTACGGCTGACTAATCTATCCATACTTCAGACCACAAAACAGATAGATAAAATGAACGAACGCTGCAGCGGTGCCGCGGTCGGAAGGGAAAACGTTGCCAGATGTACAGTATCTACCGGTAGGGCAGGGAAACACTGTCCATCGACTAATTACATGCGCCTATTTGACTGACTTGATCCATTTGATTTTTCTGAAGTATATATTTGTCACTGACTTTTTTTTCAGATAATTCAAGTTGCGCTGTCGGATCCATGTTTTTCATTGTAGAGAAATAGAATTCGAACGATAGACTGAAAAACTGAATATTTTTGAGCAAGGTCTAAAGAGTATTGATAACAGCGTTATCCTATGTACAACGGATCATCATACAGAGTGTTCCTTAATGATATGCGAATATTTAAGAGTATGAATCTACATGAAAAATTAATGTTAGCTTGCTATATAAACTATGGTCCAAAAATGTTTCCCTACAAAAACTTGGTTTGTTGAAGTTTTAGGAAAAAAATGGAAATTAATTAATATTTTCAGAACCGCTTCAGATATCTCACTGATATTTAGTACGTAGTGAAAGTTAGTAAAGTTGCATATTTTTCAATGCAAAAATAATTTTTAACTTTAACAGTGGCGCGCATACGGTTATTGACCGATATTTTTTAGGAAAAAAATGGTACGCCACTGGTTTTTTGCCAAATAAAAATTATTTTTGAATTCCCCGTTCAATTTAAGACAAATGATCTCTCTTGAATTGTTGATAAAATAGAAACCGTTCCATTGTCTAACTTGCAAAATTATTATTAATTTAATTGGAATAATTAAGCACATTAGGGGTAATGAACAACAACAACTGACAACATGAACCTAACATTTAAACCAACGAAATGATTACAAAAATTGTTGAAAATGGCCTCCTTCACTTAATATGCAAGCTTCCGTCCTCCTTCCCATGGAATTGCGCACTCATTGAAATATCCCTGTAGTGTTTTTTATTCTATCACAAGCTGCAACTGTTCTTTCTCTTAATTCCTCTACAGTGTTAATGGGACTTGTGTACACTAGTGTCTTAAGATAGCCCCACAAAAAGAAATCTAAACGGTTGAAGTCTGGGGACCTTGCTGGCTATTCTTGGGGCCCACCGCGGCCAATCCAACGATTTGGATAAACAGTTTGTAAATAATTACGAACCGCTACACTGAAATGCGCTGGTGCACCATGGCTGTTGGAAATGGGCATTGGTTACGGCATAGGGATTTTCTTCTGCCCACAAATGATTATTGTGGAAATTCTGAATGGCATTTCGAGAAAAATTAGATTCGTCCGTGAACAGAATCATTGATTCAAATTGCGCATTTTGTGTAATTTTTGAAGATACCACTGATAAAAGGTCAGACGCTTTGGAAAATCAATGGGAAGTAATGCCTGTACTCTTAAAATATGGTAAGGATATAAAAAAAATCCACCAAAATTCTCCAAAAAATTTGATGGCAAATATTTAAGTGTCTAGCAATCTTCCTCGTACTCGTTTCAGGATGTTCTTCGACTTCGTGCAGCACTGCTTCCTCAATTTCAGGTGTTCTAACTTAGAGATGTACCTTCAGATGTTCCTTTTCGGACAGGACCAGTTTCAACAAGACGACGATCAATATTAGAAAAGGATCGACTATATGGTAAAGCACGATCGGGATATCTCTGGTGATAAATCCGTCTGGCTTGCTCAGCATTACCGTCTGCAAGGCCATATAGGTAGTGCATTTCCGCCATTTCTGCATTTGAATAATTCACCATTATTAACAACATTGTAAAAACTAAATAATGAAAAAGATGTCACAGGGAACAGATTTGAATAACAGAGACTTGTTAGATGTCAAAAGCCAGTGACATATTCCAGGGCAACTGGATATTTATTGCTAAATTGCATTCTTCAATTATTATATTAATTTTCTGGGACAATAGAATGGTTTTTATTTTTTTACTCAAAAATGGCGCATCGAATGAAAACAATTCAAGAGAGACCATTTGCTTTAAATTGAACGGGGAATCCAAAAATAATTTTTACTTGGCAAAAAAACCATTGCTGTACCATTTTTTTCTTAAAAAATGTCGAAGTCAATACCCGTACGCACGCCACTGTTGAAGCTAAACATTATTTTTGCATTGAAAAATATACAACTTTATTAACTTCAACACGAGTTTTTGTAAGGGAACATTTTTGGGTCATAGTTTATAAAGTCGACTAACATTGATTTTTCATGTAGATTCGCATCCTTAAATATTCGCATAACATTAAGGAACACCCTGTATATCATTACAGAAAGCAGACTAATACCACAGAAAGATGGGTTGAAAAAACGTGAAGAATGAGATTAATGCAAATGCAAAATAAATAAGTACTTCTATAAAACAATTACCACTTGACTTCGCCTACTTATAATGACATCTTAGAAAACAAATGAAAAGTAGATGGTCAATGAATATTGGTAAGTTGCGGTCCAAGTACAAGATCTTGAACAGCCATGCAAACTGTTCGACAAAAAGTACGAAAAATAATCACAAGCACTGGAAGAATTTTGTCGCTGCATCATCTGTATCGCTACTTTGCGTTGCATGATGTTTTTTGTCATACAGAAAGCGCTTCTTTGGCCCATCCATGCCATCTTTATTGCAATAAAAGATACAAATGTTCAAAAAATTGAAGATTGAGACGGTTGAAGTTGAGATGCGATAGAGCCCAATTAGGAACTTTCCTATAGTCGAAAATACTGCTAGTTCCACTAGTAAATAATAGTATAACTGGTATCTTTAACAAATATTTCAGAATTATTCCAATGATATAAAATACGTTTAAGGAAGTTATGATATCTGTGCAGAATGCTGTAGCTGACCGCCTTCGCGCGTCGGGGTTTGGTCGTGACATCATACACCATACGATCGGCATATTGAAAAAGACAAAAGTTTGTATTTTAAAATACATGAACAAAAGAACACACAGATATTCATACAAACGGTTCAATCATAACAAGTGTTCCTCTACGCTCTTAAACTTCTCATGTAATAATGTATGGCGTCCCAGATTTTCGGTGAGTCCGACCTTACGACCACGTGCAAGACTGATTACATTTTGTATTCCATACGCACTTGCGTCTGGATCCGCCTTCATGCAAATGCAAAACAAAATAGCATCAGCACTTCCACTAAATCGCAGCCGGCGCTGATTCGCCTACTTAAAATCGCGTCGCCTTGGAAGAAGCAGAAGAACATCGCCGTCCGCCATGCCGTCCGCTGGAAAGAATGTACACAACTTTCTCCGGTCGGTTTCTTCACGGCTTGACAAGGTGCATGAACTTCTCTTTAAATTATTTAGTCTAGTGGGTTACTGTCGCCGTCCGGCTGGGAAAAACGATGAATCTGTTACAAAATGACGTAAAAAGGCCGAGATGGTTTCTCCTACCTATGACAATAGATTTTAGACATTTGACGTTGTACTTGTTAAGCAAATGTAAGAATTTTAGAATGCCAAGATGTCTGTGATCAAGCGGTGGTTCTACAGGTTGGCCCACTTAGACCCGATTTTAATGAGAAGCCGTTTTTGAAGTAATGAGTCTAATAATTATCGATTTCTTGTAAAATGCCTCCCAAAGTAAAAAAAAAATATACAATTTGTAAAAGATGAGTCCCCAGTTCTCATATTACGTCAAGAAAAACTTAATAAAAACCTATTTATCCATTTGGGCCCGGACACAGAGTGTACGACCCAGGCGCAAATTCCATTAATCAAAACGAAGGATTTGTGGGATCCTCAAAACATGGATTAAACACCATACAATAAATTAATATAACAGCAATTACTGAGCATCTAACTGAAAATGATAGTGTCACTACTTACCTGAGAGAGATAATTTAAAGAAAGTATATACTTTTGACAAGCCATCAAGGAGCCGTATTCATAAAAGAGAAGCATATCCTCGGAAGCATAAGTAAAAGTATAAGGTCCTGCTTCGGAGAAAAAGGTGGAAGTATAAGCATATCCTTGTTTTCATACTCATAATGATTACCAGTTGTACTTCAGAGCTTACACAGACCGTTCCGTATTTTTACTGGATACAGTCTTTTATCAAATTAATGAGCATGCCATCCTCAAGTGATGAGGAAACTATAGAAAATAATGGCAACGACATGCAGTTCATCGCAGATGAAATTGTCATTGCTCCCATTATTTTGCAAAAGTCACAAGTTCAGAAAATAAAAATGAGAAAGGACGATGCCTTGAAGAAGATGTTGAAAAAATACGAATCAACATTCGGTAAACCATTAGATACTAAAGGCTTATTAAGAAAATCAACAACATAAAATCAAGATTGAAGAAAAGTTGCTGAAAGCTATGGAAGGTGACTCTTCTCCTACAATTGAGAAAATTAGATGTGCCATTCAGGTTAGTAGTGTTCAAGAAGAAGGAAGTGAACTATATGCCGAGCGCAGTGAGCAAACAGTTGGTATTACAGCGCCAGCAATTCAGAAGACATTGCCATCAAAAGGAAAATTAGCAACAGAGAAATACGAAACTGAGGAAACCAAGGGGTTAACTACAAAAGAACTGCAACGTCTATTGCTATGACAGCAGTACCAAATAAGTATTTTACAACAAGAGTATTATAAAACGAAATTAGAAATGATGCAGTGTCAGAAGCAACCTGTAACTTATGATGTTCACGAAAATAAAACTTATTATAACTTATAAATACACTTTAATCAGTAAAACTATTTATTATAATACTCAAGTTTTCTCTTATTTGCTGTCCTACTTGGCGGAGAGGAAGTTCGTCATTCTCACAATTTCCTTCATCTTCATCTGGGTCTTGTTCAACTAATTCAAAGCCAAGATCGCCAAAGCTATTCCCAGCATTATGGAGTACAATACAAGCAATAATTATTTTCGTTACATTTTCCAACTTTACGCGGCAAACATACTGTAGGATAGGAAACAGGCGTTTCAGTTGGCCGAAACAGCATTCAACTATAACTCTTTCTTGTTTTGAAAGCTTATTATAATTTATTTCTGCACCTGGAATAGGATTTCTGAAGGGAGTCATAAGGCAATGGCTCAATATTATAACCGTCATCGCCAAGTAGTACAACATTTGCTTTATTTATTAGTTGTGATCTAATCTGTGAATTTCTCCATATTCTGGAATCATGCACTGATCCAGGCCAACTGACATCAACACTTGTGAACATCCTTCTGGCATCACACGAAGCTTGCACATTTAAAGTAGGTTTCCCTTTTCGGTTGATATACTCATCTCCATGGCGATTTGGTTTCAGGATTCCTATATGTGTACAATCAATTACACCAATTGCTGTCGGAAATTTATACATGCTTTGCCATAGTAGTTGGAAACGTGATCCTTTCGTTCGACTGTGCAGCTATGCTGTTCACAACTCTATCTACAGTCCGAGATACCGTTGCTTGACTAATACCAAGTTCCTGGCCAATACCTTGTTGATATCCAGGGTCACCGAGATAGCGTAGACATATCTTCATTTTATGATTATATGAAAGTGCTCCTCCTCGAGTTTCCGCATTCTCAACTAAAAATCTGTCCGCAAGCCATTGTACATTTGCTTCGTCGAACCGATATATGTAATTTTTTGCAGTCACGCCCAAGTGAAGGTAAATGAGGCTTGTACGTTTTAACATCCAAACAAAATTTAAAGAGTGTGTCACTGAGTTAAATACAACATCGGGAACAGTATTAAAAAATACTCAACAGATATGCGATGAATTTGTACAATTCTTTACTGACATAGGCGAAAATTTAGCAAGTAATATACAAGCAAATGTACAAAATACTCAGCCTCCAAAAAGAACTTTGAACTCATTTATTTTGGATAAAGTCGAACAATGTGAAGTATACACCACTGTTATGTCCTTAAAAAATCGGAAAAGTCCTGGGTTCGATGGTATTAAAAGCGAGCATTTGAAAATTATAGCCGACGACATAACAGAACCACTCACTTACCTAATCAACAAATGCTTTGAATCTGGCATATATCCCTCAATTTTAAAAAAGGGTAATATAATACCGATACATAAATCAGGAACAAAAACAGATGTTAACAACTATAGACCAATATCAATAATATCCAGTGTAGCAAAGGTTTTTGAAAAAGTTTTATCTACTAGAATGATTCGATACCTCACAAAATTCAAAATTTTAAGTGAAAATCAATATGGATTTACAGAAGGGAAGGCTACATCGGACGCAATAACTAAAATTGTAAATCAAATATATCAAAATATTGATAACAGAATCCCTTCAATCTGCATTTTTGTTGATTTAAAGAAAGCTTTCGACACAGTTAATCACAAATTATTATTAGAAGCATTGGAGAGAATTGGTTTCAGAGGAAACGCGTACTCACTGAGCGAAAGTTATTTGTCAAATCGCCCACAATCTGTGCAGATCTCAGGATCATTTAGTAAAGAAATGTATATTAAGTGTGGTGTCCCACAAGGAACTGTCTTAGGTCCGCTGTTATTCAATATATATTTAACCCTTAACTACGGACATACATTTTTTATCCTCTAACACGGACAAGGAGTCTGACAGACTCCTATTAATGTATGCAATACATTTTTCTTTTTACAAAAAGTATGCTGATTTTTTCTTCATAAGTAAAACAAAATACATCTCATACATCATGTTTATTATCAATATTTTGAAAATACTATAAAATTATGCAAAAAAACCACGAAATAATTGGCGCATTCCATTTTGTTACAAATGCTAAACATACAAATAAAAAGCAACGCTAATATTAACAAAACATATAAATCAACAGTTATTTGAATTTAAACCTTATACTATAAGATCCCACAAACGGTAAAATAGTAAGAATAGGGCTGTAAACTTTAATATAAAAAAACCTGCACGAGGTGAATGTTTCATATATTTTCTAGAGTTTGACAACAGTTTATACAAGATTTTCGCGAACACTGCAGACATATTGGCTTTTTGCAGTTCGCACATGTATAGGCAGTCTTTCTTTTTAGCTTCGAGGGGCATATATAACAATATTTACGTGTATGTAGGCGTTCCTCAGTCACAGGTGTTGGCTCTTCTTGATGTAAAACGCGACAGATTAAATGTTTCAATTCTCTGTGTAACATTGGCATCTCCAATCTGTTACGCACATGTTTTTCAATTAACTGATCCGCCAATATTTTCACAAAATTGAAACGTGTTATATCATTTCCCGGGAAAGAGGAATACATAATGAAAGAATTTGCGCTACAAATATCTATCAGTTTATAAAAGATAGCCATTGGCCACCTTCTAGTACGGCGACTACATGTATATTTTGCAGTTTTTTCATCCATTCCATCCACACCTCCTTTAGTGGAATTATAAAAGGCGATCATTTCAGGTTTATTGGATGTCTCATCGATTGTTTCGCTGTGATGCATGGTAGATAAAAGAACTACTGCTCTATTTTTCTTGGGAACATGTGAGATTATTGTAACATCTTTCGTAAACCCATAAAGTGTTTCACCCAATTTGCGTTTTCTTGCAGGTAAAAACTCAGTGGGAATCTCCCTTTTATTCTTTTTTAGTGTTCCCACAAATGTAAGGCCATTTTTTAATAGGTATTGGGCAAGCTCCATAGATCCAAACCAATTGTCGGCCGTTATGTTCCTGTTTGAGTGAAAAATAGTCTTAGCGAGCCGGATAACTGCCTGAGATGGTTTACTGAGCTTTTTCTCTTCTTCTGTTAGACCACGACCATCGCTGTCTTTACCACCATAAATGTATGCATTATATAAATACTGTGTTCTTGCATCAGTCATTGCTATTATTTTTATCCCATACTTCTCTGGTTTGGATGGGATATACATTTTAAATTTACACCTTCCCCTGAATCCCACCAACATTTCATCTATGCAAGCTGTTGCGCCAATTGTATATGAACATCTAGCATTCTCGCAAAACATATCAAACAGCTCACTAATAGCTGCTACTGGATTTACCTTCTTTCTTTCTTCTCTGTCCTCTGGATTATCAAATCGCAAAGCCACTAACAAAATGGAGAAACGCTCTTGAGACATAACAGCTCGGAATACGTCCCTGCCTCTACCGTCTGTTGCAAAAATACTTCTTACATCTTCATCGTTACTTTTGAAAATTTCGGTGTACAATAACAATCCTAAAAAGGCATCTAATTCGTCATTGTCAATATCTGCTAGCTCCGGTTTATTTTCTCTTTTGTATTTTCTTCTCATAGAAGCTAATTTTGCATTTGTCCAAACTATAACCAAGTCATACATTTCAGGAGAAAATAATTTTTTGAACAATTTAATAGGGCTCTTTTCATAATTTCCAGTTAGTCGAACTGCTGGAAGTCGCAAAATGTTATGTGCTGGTGTTCGTACTCTTCGTTCTGGCTCGCGTCGGCTCCATTTGAATCTATTTTTTCCATACAGGTATTTATTTTCTCGTTTACGTTCATTTCCTGATCTGTTAGGTTCTAACACCTGTTCACTTCCGATAGTAGCATCATCTTCGCCACTGGAAATATCCATGTCTTCGTCATGTTCAATCTCGTAATCAGGATCATCGTCAGACGCCTCTTGCTCGCTTGTTGACTCATGTTCACTCTCAATGAACACATTTTCATCAGGTTCAATATCACTGTTTTCATTGTCTACCTCATTGAACCATCTCATGGCAATTTCCTCAAAGTTAGGATCCAAAACATTAATTCGTTTGGAAGAACTTGGCCTAGAAGTCGCCATAATAAAATATCACTATACTGACGTTAACACGGACAAGGAGTCTGTCAGACTCTGAAATGTACGTAACTCCAAAATCAAAAATAAATGCTAAGTAATCACCTCAACACGCTGTAGCAAAGTGAAAAAGCGGAAGCTACTCGAAGCGGCGTTGACCTTGGGTGTTTTTTGTTGTGAGTACGGTACGATATTTGCGCGGCGGAGTCTACGAGACTCCATGTCCGTAGTTAAGGGTTATATGATATTTTCCAAATTAATTGTGTTGGCAAAATAACTAGTTTTGCAGATGATACTGCAATATTATATGAAGGCACTGACTGGTCTGATCTGAAAAATGTAATTGAAAATGATTTTATCAAAATTATTCGGTAGTTTAACAGTAGAAAATTAAGCATTAACTACTCTAAAACACATTTTTTACCATTTGGATCTTATGCTAGACATCTGCCAAATTACACAAATTTCTCCTTCAATATTAATGATCAAAAAATGCAAATTAATAGAGTGCCCAACATAAAATACCTTGGAGTGGTCTTGGATCCTCACTTACGATGGGACATCCATGTCAATTATATTTTAAAGAAAGTTAGATTTGTATCCTACAAAATTAAATACCTTGGGAATATATTGACAGAAAAATATCTTCAAACATTATACCATGCACTGATTGAGCCTCATCTCACATATGGTATATTAGCATGGGGAGCTGCATGTTCCTCACATATCTATAATTTAGACGTTTTTCAAAAAAGTATTCTAAAAATGATATTTAAAAAACCGAAACTTTATCCCACTGAAAAATTATATGCAGATGTTCGAATGTATGATATAAGACAGCTTTATTTCTGACACAGTATCACTCACTACCATAAATTTGTAAACACCGACCAAAAAATTAAACATAATCATTATACCAGGTACAAAATTCGTGGCACAGTAGTTCCTCAACCGCATAAATCTATAATGCAGCGATCATATTTCTATTTAGCGCCTAAATTTTATGAAATTATACCTAAAGACTTAAAAGATTTACGTTTCGGAAATTGTTTCAAAAGAAATTTAAAAAAATGGCTACATTCTATATCTAGGACTGAAATTCATAAACTCATAAATACGAACATCAACTAAATACATAATCTACTGTAGCTAATTTTTGTCCTTTTTTGTCATTTGCATTCTACAGTTTCAACTTAAATTATTGGTCCATGTACAGCCGATGCCTTCTATTGGGCCTGTTTTGATTTTATATTTATTTACTCATATTGTTTGTTATCTTTGTACATTGAGTAAATAAATATCATTATTATTATTATTATTATCCACAATTTCCGCCATCATCGTTTGACC